CATCACAGTTTCCATGTTGTGACTGAGTTCATAATCACAAAGTAACCATCACAGTTTCCATGTTGTGACTGAGTTCATAATCACAAAGTAACCATCACAGTTTCCATGTTGTGACTGAATTCATAATCACAAAGTAACCATCACAGTTTCCATGTTGTGACTAAATTCATAATCACAAAGTAACCATCACGGTTTCCATGTTGTGACTGAGTTCATGATCACAAAGTAACCATCACAGTTTCCATGTTGTGACCGAGTTCATAATCACAAAGTAACCATCACAGTTTCCATGTTGTGACTGAGTTCATAATCACAAAGTAACCATCACAGTTTCCATGTTGTGACTGAGTTCATAATCACAAAGTAACCATCACAGTTTCCATGTTGTGAACAATCACAAGTAACATCACACTTTCCATGTTGTGACTGATTTCATAATCACAAAGTAACCATCACAGTTTCCATGTTGTGACTAAGTTCATAATCACAAAGTAACCATCACACTTTCCAAGTTGTGATTGAATTCCTAATTTCACAGTTTCCATGTTGTGACTGAATTCGTAATCACAAAGTAACCATCACAGTTTCCACGTTGTGACTGAGTTCACAATCACAAAGTAAACATCACACTTTCCATGTTGTGACTGATTTCATAATCACAAAGCAATCATCACAGTTTGCATGTTGTGACTGAGTTCATAATCACAAAGTAACCATCACAGTTTCCATGTTGTGACTGATTTCATAATCACAAAGCAATCATCACAGTTTGCATGCTATAATTTTTAATATGGTAAGTGTATCTTCACAAAAGAAGTTTAATGTTTGAGACATAGTGTTGACATTATGTCTTCAAGCTACAAATCCCTATTTTGACTCTCCTAAATATTACAACTTTTAGACATGGAGTCAAAATATGGAATTGCAGCTTGAGGAACTAATGCCAACACTATGTTTCAAACATTAAGCTTGTTTGTTTACTTTTTTTGTAATTGCATTTTCACTTTAAGGTACTTATCTTGTTTCTGTAATTTTTGAAGACCCCTATTTTTAAATTAACAATTTTTAGTAATCTTGTCTCTTATAGTTTTTCAAGTGACTCCTCATTTGAGTGACATTGTTACCATAAGCCAAGTTTACAAAATGTTTACTCACCAATTACTTTGCAGTTTATGACTTCGGATACACACTATATAACAGTTCAGTGTTCTAAAAACTGTTTCAGTTAAGACACATAATTGATGATTGAATACATTCACAGAGTAACTACAGTGAAATAACAATGAATTAATTCTAAATCTATTCTCCAACCAATTCTTATAATGGGCAGCTATTAAAAAAATAACTATCAAGTAGTGTATAGTGTGTTCACCATTCCACCCTGTTGGCTTGTTGATGATTTTAACAAAAACACATACATCTCATAATAATCTACTCTTAAGTGAATTATTTTCTATAGCTTAACAACTTGATATATTCCAATATTAAAATCCAATATTAAGCTGTTGCATAAATGCTAAAAAATATTTATGAAAATCATGTTTCATACTTTAAATGTGTTACTTTACTTTAGTTTTTATTACTAAGTGGAAATAAGTATTTTATTCCTTACATTTCTTTATTTTACTCTTCTTAATTTAAACCTTTGCTCCACTTCTTTCATACATACAAAGTGCACTCTTGTTGTCCTGGCCACCATATATTACACTTTAAATTATCATACCCATTTAAAAATTGTTTACTTCTTTCTGTGAAAATAGTATAATTCTGCAAAATAGTATAATTTCTAAATGAAATGGCTAAATCTTTTTAATTTCTCGTGCAATAAACAGGTGTTATGAATAAGCAAATGATCAAGTGTATTATTGTAAACAGCATATCAAAATAAGGGTACATCACTATTTTACATCACAATATATGAAACACTAATAGCTTTATATTAGCTTTTTACAACAAGTACAACTGTCGCTATACATACCAAATACAAGAAACAAAAGCAATATTATAAGATATCACAATCATATACTATAGAACTATCCACCATTTGTGTCATGTCCATTCCAAGTTTTACGATACTTCATATTATGACACAAACGTCCAAGTTGGTGATCTATATAGCCTTTAATTTCAAACCATGTCTACCTACCACAGCATACGGATCCCTATCTCAAATAATGCTGGAAAGAGGAGGTCGTCACTTCCAATTCCCCAACGACGGTTACAAGCAACAAGACCAGGCATGTTTAATCAATAGTGGTTCCTGAACTTCAGACCATGGTTAATAATATCACAAGTCTAAGAGAATAAGTACATTAAATTATAAATAACATTATTTAGAATTCAGACTGAGACCAATTTTATGAATTTTTATTTTTTAAGCTAAAAGGCAAAAAAATGATGTTGAATTTTTAAATAAGAAATAAATATTATTGTTTATTAAAACTTTCTGAACCAACCAAGGCAAAGAAATTCACATTTCTCATATTCAATACTTTTCTTTTAAATATTAAGTATTAGCTCAGCAAGCAATAATAAAGAGAGAGAGAGAGAATATATACAGGGTGTCCCAAAAAAATG